CATTGAAGTACATTTTCAAGCCAGTTTCGAAGCGCAGCTCTTACAGAAGCATTTTATTAGAGGGATTTCTGCTACGTCTTTAGTCTTTCAGAGCTTCGAAACGTCATTTTAAAGCGGCATGAATGCTGCTTTTTTATGTCCCTTTCATTCTGATTCACCAGCAACTTGCTGGTTGTTACTGATATCATCTCCTGAGTAAGAACCAATCAGCATGAGTTCACCACAAGTCCACCCAACGACAACCGGGCATTATCCAAATACATACCCCAGTTAGGTTACTCGCTTGGTCTGTGAACTGACCTGGTACAGGGTCCTTAAAAAGACTTAAATTAGCTTTTCCATATTTAAGGCCTTAAAAATCCTTAAAAATGACCAATAATCCTTAAATACAGTTTCCAAAGGTCTTAAATTACCAAAGACCCAATAAACAAGATTCTTTTATTTCTATAAAATTCTCGTGAATTTCTAGTTAGTGTTCAGCATTTTTTGTGTACGATGTTGGCGTAAGCGGAACCGTACACATTCAGTTGGTTGTGAAAGGGGGCTATTTTTAGATGAGCACATTAGCTGGTTAAGCTAGTGGGAGCTTGCGCCATGGGGAAGTGCAAGTTTAATGGTAACTGGGTGGCTAATCCCACGTTAGCGACGTGGTTAGCACCGTTTCCAGGCAATAGCTGGAAATTATAGCTTAAATTTAATTTTAAATAATTAGTTAAATTTGGTCAAAGTGGCCTTAAAAAAGGTCTTGAAAGGTCTTAAAATTGGCTCCCTTAAACCAGTAGATACCCTGTGGTAAATGGTCCAGTGACATGGAAACATGCATGCTGGGAAGGTCCAGTAAATGACCTGGAAGCTCCAGTGGTAGGAATGGGCCTGTTTTGTTTTCTATTCTTATCCAAATGCTCATTTGACCTAGCCTGGCCAGCCATCCTGCATAAATGAATATAGAGTCTGGCGAACAATGTGGCGTACTCACCGCTACGGATATCAGTCAGCAAGGCGGTCTGCCATACTCCGTCAAAGAAGATGCAATATACAATTAAGTCTGCTCTTGAGCCAAAGAAAACCCTAGATTGAAATAGTCCAAAGCAGGGGGGCTGGTGCCTATCTCCAACGGTCAACGGGCAATCAGGCGGGGTACACCCTGGACAGAGAGCCAGTCCATCGCAGGGCAACACCATCGACATATAAATATTGGACAATGGGTTTCCATAGGCTCCAATAACACGTTTTTGAGGCTAAATGGGAGGTGGCCACCACCGCCATTTTGACCGTGTCACAGGTTCCGTCAAGCCCAGACAATTCCACAAAAGGGAAGAGAGGTGGAGCTGAGGGTGGGGCTGTAAGGCTGGGATCAACTGACGACACCCGTCGAACTAGCTACAAGCTAACCCAAAGCTAACACGGAGGTGAGAGCTAAGCTAATGGAGGTAGCAACCTAGCTACAACCGGAGTTAACTGTGCACAACACCAGAGCTTCTGAGTCAGAGATACGCCGGGCTGACCGCTGGGTAAAACCGGGTGGAACACAGAGGTCTCCCGAGAGCTCCACAAGCCGGCAGCCGCACAGCAGACAAGCGCCGTTGCGATCTGAGATGCGCAGAGCTGCTGCTGGGGACAACCGGGTGGAAAGGTTTCCATCCCAGAGCTCCACAAGCCGGCAGCCCGTGCAGCAGACAGGAGCCGCGATCAGACAGAGATGCGCCGAGAGGAGAACCGGGTGGAAAACATCTGTCTCCCGAGAGCTCCACAAGCCGATAGTGGGAACCCAGCTCCACCAACATGTTATATTTCAACCCATTTTCTAAAGTGCAGCATTATGTTAAATGCACTGGGTTTTACCCTATTACATTTAAATTTCATGGTTAAACAGTACATGTTAAAATCTAAGCTCAGCTCGGCAGTGACCTAAAATACATAAATATAATTTTACTTACCGAAAAAAATGAAGTGGAGACTCCTTGGACGCTCTATTAGTGCAATTAATGCCACAGCAAGTCATGTTGTCCAACAATTGCACTAAAAATATCCAAAAAGAATACACAAACACAGAGACTCAAAATCCCGGAATAGTTTCCAAGCCAGACCGAGGCTCTACTGAGGCCTTTCCACGGAGCTAGCTCTGTGGTCACGTGGGTCTGATGCTCATTAATTATACAGAATTTTAGGCTTTTAATACACTTAAACAGAAGAGTGAGACAAAAATTCACCCCCCTCAGAGTTGTCATGAGTGTAAACTAGATCATTTACACCAAAAACATGTTTTGGTACCAGGCTGTAAACATGTTTATTTCTGCTGTGAAATTGGTATTTTTAACATGGGAGTCAATGAGGATTTGCTCGCTTCTGACACCAGCCCCTAGTGGATGAGGGTGGAACTGCAATTTTTGGTACTTCCGGGTTGGCCTCAATTTTTGAGCCGCATTATGGGGGCTTGGGCAACAGAGAGACACACAGGACAAACGATCACACACACACACTCACACCTAAGGACAATTTAGACAGACCAATCAACCCAACAGTCATGTTTTGGACTGTGGGAGGAAGCCGGAGTACCTGGAGAGAACCCACGCATGCACAGGGAGAACATGCAAACTCCATGCAGAAAGATCCCAGGCCGGGAAGCGAACCCAGGACCTTCTAGCTGCAAGGCAACCGCTCTAACCACTGTACCACTGCGCAGCTTTGAACTGATTCATGCAGATTTTAACTATTTCTAAATTATAATAATCAGATGGAGGTTTGTGATTGGCTGTTGTCTGTGACTGCTGCGGTTCCTCTCGAACGTCCGTATGGGCGGTGCTGTGCCTCATGAGCAGCTGTTATTCTGTGAAAAGCAGCTCCTCTGCATGCAGCGCTGCAGACACCACCAACCCCACATCTCTTATGGCCTGTATTGATCCGTTTACCATCACATCTACTTATTACTGCAACACTTTAGTAAATATTCAGATAACGAGGCCATTTGCAAGCAAAAGTGGCGGTAGATGTATAATTAAAACGTTAAAGGATGATGTTTTTATTACTCATACAAAGCAGTTTAATAAGAAATTAATAGTTTAGAATCGCATTTTAGCAGCAACATTCTCGGCATCCTCTTGTTCTTCCAAAAGAAACTATATTATTTTTTTTATAAATAATAACTACTATTATTATTAATACAAATTATTAATAACAACAACAATAAAAATAATAACTATTATTATTATTAACACTATTTAATATTAATAACAATAATAATAATACTTATTATTATTATTGTTATAATGTAAGACACCCCATCAGTGTGTGAATGTGTGTGTGAATGGGTGAATGATTGTGTTGTAAAGCGCCTTGGGGGGTTCCAGGACTCTAGAAGGCGCTATATCAAATACAGGCCCTTTACCATTCAATAGAAAACAGACGGAAACGTTCCGATTAGAAAAGCCACGCAGATCTACGTCACAGAAAATGAACAGTCATGAACTTACCTGGGTCATGGCGGGGAAGGCGGTTGTTGGTTTAGCGTAAAAGTAAGAGCGGCGCACGTCTGTAATGGCCGCCAGCCTGGCCTCTTCAGCTCCAGGAGCCCCAGTGATCAGCCCAGACGCCGCTCCTCCTCCTCCTCCTCTTCCCACTCCTCCAGGCTGCTGAGGAGCACAGCTGAGCCGAGTCCCTCTACTGAACCACCTAGAATAAAAGACTGCAGAGGTGTGTCTGTCCTCTGAGTTTGTTTGGAGCCGTCTTTGCTCTTTGACGAGTTTTAACTGAAAAAGGTAAAAACACAGAAATGATCCTGAAGGATTTTTTAATATGACGGTCTCGGAGAGGGAAGTTCCCTCTGACCGCTCCTTTCTACCGGAGCCATCAGCAGCACGCCTTGCTGCTGCTTGGCCCTTCCCACCAGAGACGCGTAGCAGCAGGGGAGCAGCCGTCACCGACCGAGCACGAAGTCACACGAGTGACTTCGTCAGTAAACACAACAACGAGCAGGAGAAAACTACAACATGGCTCCAAAAGGTTTGTGTTTTATGTTCTGTCCGTTTTATAATCGCCAATACGGACCTGAAAACCAAAGGAGCTAGGTGATAACTTCTCACGGGGCCGCACAGTTGGTAACTTTTTTTTTAAGTAAAGCAACCGGAAGGCCGTACATTTCTTTATTCTGAAAATCTCGGGAAGCTTCGCTCCATTTCCGCGTCCGATTTCCTGTCTTTCCTTCCCCAAAAATGTCGAACTTGACCCGCGTAGAAAATAGAACCGGCGCGTAAAGGCCGCGACAATGCTGCTCCTGAGACGCGGCCGACTCGCGCTGCTGACGGCTCCGGTGGAAAAGGTTCTGTTGACCACAGCGGTTCCTGTCAGCAGCTATGACGTGCTGCTGCAGTAACGTGCTGCTGGCGGCTCCTTGAGTTATGATCCTAATGATCTTTGTGGTCTCTGTTTTAGGTTAACGCTGGTTTCAGAGTCTTTTGTGGGTTTGTCTTGTTTTCGTTTGGCACATAAACACAATTTTAATTCCACTGTCATGTTTCTTACGTTACCTCCTCCTCCACATTTTAACCTCTCCTGTCGGGGTCGTGACAACGTTTCAGCTAGTAGAAGCTAACCGTTAGCATTAGCAGCTCTAGCGCACAGCAGAACTCCTCTAGGCTTGTGTTATCACTGGAGATAGAACATCAACTTTGCAGAAGTGAGTCAGTGGCAGAGTCGTGTTGCTGTTAGCCAATCAGAGGAGAGATATCTAAATAACAGGAAAAATCCTGCTGTCTTCTGCTCCAAATAAGCATGAGTTCCTGAAACAGGAGCACCAGAGCTTTTTTTCCCCACAAAGACATTCGTTATACTAGACCCCACTGCAGATGTCTAAGTGAACTTGGTCTTTAAAAAAAAACGACTTGGTCCTCTTGGGTTCAGGAAGCTAAAGAAAATCAAATGTTTTGTTTTTTATGTCAAGTCTTTGTTCTGTTTCACTACTAAATCTGGAGTCTCACCTGGTGTGTCTCGGCTCCGTCGCACAGGTAATGCAGGTGGTGAGGGAGCAGATCATGCGAGCGCTCACTCTCAAGCCTAATTCTCTGGACCAGTTCAAGAGTCGCCTGCAGAACCTGGGCTACGCAGAGATCCTGAAGATTCGCCAGTCCGAGAGGATGAACCAGGAAGACTTCCAGTCCCGCCCCATTCTGTGAGTCTTGGAATTCAAAAAGTAGACTGCACCAGATTTTCCTCTTCCTGCCGTATGTGTGATAAAAAAGCTGATTTTAGTACAACTTTTGATTTTATTGTCTGAATGTTCATGTTCATATCAGGCTGTCAGGAAGTAAATTTTAAGAGAATATTTAGCTTTTACCAGGGACGGTTCTTGGGGGGATCAAGGGGGGCACTGAACCCCCCCCATAGAACCACCCTAGCTTTGACTGGTGAGGTCAGTGAAGCACAAAAATACATTTTTCACTTCATAGATTTGAAGGGAAAAAAATAAACAGTCACTGATGAACAAGAGTGCTTCTAGACCTGCAGAAGGAGGAAATTAAACAAAATAGAAGACAAACAACAATGCAACAAGAGCAAGCAGTCACTGCGTTGACCTGCGTCAATGTCTTTCTTTTCAAGACTTAAAGTCAAATACATTTTTACATAAAGTTGTTTACAAGCTAAAATCTGAAGCACGTTAAAATATCTCTTTGTAAAAACTATCTGAAGTGTGTCTCTTTCAAAGAACGCACACATTAATACAAATACAGCTTTATTTAAATTCACTCATTTTTCTTTCATGTTTAATTTTTATTTATCACGTGTGCTTTTTATGATTTAGGTTGTTTTTTAAGAGAGGAGAATGGAAACTTTACTCAAATATCTCAAGAAACTTTTAGTTTGAAAAGAGAAATGATGAAGCAAATACACCAAACTTATATAACGCTTTTTAGGTCACTCGAAGACGCTTCACAAAACGTGCAATAACACATAAAGAGACAAAATGAAGCGTAGTAAACCGACCGGGGGTGCTGGGTTGATCCTAAGAGACGGCCCGTTTGAAGAGGTGGGTTTAAGCAGAGAGACAGCATTCCTGTTAAAATGGACTTTTAAATTCCAGCTCTAGTAGATAAGTCATGTTGGCTTGTTCTCACACACACACACACACACACACACACACACACACACACACACACACACACACACACAGATGTGGGTAACGTGAGCCTCTCGTTCTGCAGGGAGCTGAGGGAAAAGATCCAGCCGGAGATCATGGAGCTGATCAAACAGCAGCGGCTCAACAGGCTGTGTGAAGGGACCTGCTTTAGGAAAATCAGCAACCGCAGGAGACAAGGTGAGCAACACACACACACACACACACATTAAAATGTGTTCACTTCAGTTTCTTCATTCCTTTTCTGTCTCCACTCGCGACACGTTCCCTCAGTGGGAATGTTTGAAGCTCCGGACTGTTGAGTCTGCTCCCGTGAAAACTTGAACCAGTTTTCCAATTTTATTTTGTTTTCCAAGCAGCAGAGCAGAGTTGTGAGAAACGCTGCACACAAAGTATTCCCTCTCAGCTCGTCTCCAACTCGGAGATGGAGCCGGATATTAATTATTAGTTCATTTAGCCTCTAATTAGGTTGTAATTAGATTAATATCTCACGTCTGACCCAAAATTGAAGTAAAATATTAAAATGTTGGTTTAAAAGATGTCAAATTCTAGATCCTTTATTTTTGTTTTTCTGAAACGGAAAACTGGGATAACTGTCATGTGATTCCCTGCAGCTTTGCTGCGAATCCCTAACCAAAACCCATCAAACTGGGAATTTCTGTGCCTTTTTTCCCCCTTTCCTAGTCTAATTTGGTGATTTTAAGTCTGAGTCCAATCAGTGTTGGCTGCCATCATTGTCTTGTAGTCAGAGTGAAATTATAGACCGGAAAAATGGGAAACGTTGGAGGAAAACTGTGTTTTTTGGCGTTTTAGGTGGAATTCTGATGGTTTGATTTAGGCTTGCTTAGGTTAACCCTCCTCTCTTCCTCATCTGCTCCTCTTCCTCAAAATTGACTTCTTAATTAAGGAAGCGCCCATCTTTATAGAATAAGTTGGAAAAACAATCATCCAGAAGATGACTGATGTGTGTTTTGTAGCAGAAACTAAAGCAGGCATCCCACTGGGCCACGGCTGTGAGAAATGTGCAGTTTTCACTCGTTTAGACACCATGAGGCACGTTTTATTCGTAGTTGTGTCATGTGGGGCATGCGTGCAGACAAAAAGGATTTTTTTAACCGTTTAGTCACAAAGTGTCTTCGTTTCTTTGTAATTCACTCAGTTTGTCTGCAGATTGGACACCAGCGTCTCCGAGAGCTGTCACACATCTCTGACTCATTTTCCCATTTTCAACCCTTAATATCTGAATGAAAACACGTAGCACTAAAGAGTTTTTGGACCTGATGAGGTCTTTTATTTTTCAGACTCTTGGCTCTATTGCTCTGGTCTGAGTGATTTTTACAGTAGATAGCTGTTGAGCGATGGCTGAGATGAGGAAAAGCGACAGTCTGTGTTGTCACACGTCCTGATCCCTCCCTTGTGGAGAGCGTCCTGGGCCATCTGTAGATTTTCCTCCCGGTTGCTCATTTTCTCTCCTGCCGATGACTCACGCAGATCCGTCCCCACATGCTGCCTTTGTGCCAGTCGCTGTTTATTTCATAACTCCTCTAAATTTATCTCTCTGCTTCTTTCAATTTCTTTATTTTTTTGCAGATAAGTTTTGGTATTGCCGTCTGTCCCCAAATCATAAAGTCCTGCACTACGGGGACCTGGAGGAGAGTCCCCAGGGCGAGGTCCCCCACGACTCTTTACAAGACAAACGTGAGCAGATTTAGGATTATCGAGAGGGTTTGTGGATTTCCAGATGAAGCTGATGGGCGAACTTGAGTTTTACTTCTGATTTAATGAGTTGGATCAACCAGAGACAGTTTCCTGATGGTTGCTGTTGGTAAGTCATGTCTGTCCTCTCCGCAGTGCCTGTGGCTGATATCAAAGCTGTTATCACTGGCAAAGACTGCCCTCACATGAAGGAGAAGGGAGCCCTGAAGCAAAACAAGGTGTGTGTGTGTGTGTGTGTGTGTGTGTGTGTGTGTGTGTGTGTGTGTGTGTGTGTGTGTGTGTGTGTGTGTGTGTGTGTGTGTGTGTGTGTGTGTGTGTGTGTGTGTGTGTGTGTGTGTGTGTTGCATAACATTGATGTCGGTTACATAAATTTTGCTCTGGGGAACGACACCATAACTAGCATGTTGGTGTTCTGCAGAGATGCTCATCGGTGGGATTTTTGTTCAGATGAATTACTGAACGGTTCCACGTTGATGACATCACAGGAGAACCGTCTTGTTAAACACGCTCCCTTTTGGTGCTTTGACCAGGATGTCGTCTGAGTCTGGATGCACATTATTCTGTAGATCTTCATCCTCCTGCAGAATTGGATCACGGATAAATGGATTTGTAGACAAAGAAGCCTGCCTCTTGCCATCTTTATTACACCGTTGATGAGCTCTGGACTAAGAGAGCAGCCAAACTGGGAGCACTGGGATTCCTAATACATCTGGGGGAGAGAATATGACCTCAGAGTAACATTTAGATTTATACCAAACATTTAGATTTATACCAAACATTTAGATTGAGACCTGACATTTAGATTCAGACCTGACATTTAGATTCAGGCCTGACATTTAGATTCAGGCCTGACATTTAGATTCAGGCCTGACATTTAGATTCAGACCTGACATTTAGATTTAGACCTGACATTTAGATTCAGACCTGACATTTAGATTCAGACCTGACATTTAGATTCAGACCTGACATTTAGATTCAGACCTAACATTTAGATTCAGATTTAACATTTAGATTTAGATTTAACATTTAGATTCAGACCTAACATTTAGATTTAGATTTAACATTTTGATTCAGACCTGACATTTAGATTCAGACCTGACATTTAGATTCAGACCTGACATTTAGATTCAGACCTGACATTTAGATTCAGACCTGACATTTAGATTCAGACCTGACATTTAGATTCAGACCTGACATTTAGATTCAGACCTGACATTTAGATTCAGACCTAAAATTTAGATTCAGACCTGACATTTAGATTCAGGCCTAACATTTAGATTCAGGCCTAACATTTAGATTCAGACCTAACATTTAGATTCAGACCTAACATTTAGATTCAGACCTGACATTTAGATTCAGACCTAACATTTAGATTTAGATTTAACATTTAGATTTAGATTTAAAATTTAGATTCAGACCTAACATTTAGATTTAGACCTAACATTTAGATTTAGATTTAACATTTTGATTCAGACCTGACATTTTGATTCAGACCTGACATTTAGATTTAGACCTAACATTTAGATTCAGACCTGACATTTAGATTCAGACCTGACATTTAGATTCAGAGCTGACATTTAGATTCAGGCCTAACATTTAGATTCAGGCCTAAAATTTAGATTCAGACCTAACATTTAGATTCAGACCTAACATTTAGATTCAGACCTAACATTTAGATTCAGGCCTAACATTTAGATTCAGGCCTAACATTTAGATTCAGACCTGACATTTAGATTCAGACCTGACATTTAGATTTAGATTTAACATTTAGATTTAGATTTAACATTTTAATTCAGACCTGACATTTAGATTTAGACCTAACATTTTGATTTAGATTTAACATTTTGATTCAGACCTAACATATAGATTCACACCTAACATTTAGATTCACACCTAACATTTAGATTCACACCTAACATTTAGATTCACACCTAACATTTAGATTCACACCTGACATTTAGATTCAGACCTGACATTTAGATTCAGACCTGACATTTAGATTCAGACCTGACATTTAGATTCAGACCTGACATTTAGATTCAGATTTAACATTTAGATTCAGATTTAACATTTAGATTCAGATTTAACATTTAGATTCAGATTTAACATTTAGATTCAGATTTAACATTTAGATTCAGACCTGACATTTAGATTCAGACCTGACATTTAGATTCAGACCTGACATTTAGATTCAGACCTGACATTTAGATTCAGACCTGACATTTAGATTCAGACCTGACAATTAGATTCAGACCTGACAATTAGATTCAGACTTAACATTTAGATTCAGACCTAACATTTAGATTCAGACCTAACATTTAGATTCAGACCTGACATTTAGATTCAGATTTAACATTTAGATTCAGATTTAACATTTAGATTCAGACTTAACATTTAGATTCAGACCTGACATTTAGATTCAGACCTGACATTTAGATTCAAACCTGACATTTAGATTCAAACCTGACATTTAGATTCAAACCTGACATTTAGATTCAGGCCTAACATTTAGATTCAGACCTGACATTTAGATTCAGACCTGACATTTAGATTCAGACCTAACATTTAGATTCAGGCCTAACATTTAGATTCAGACCTGACATTTAGATTCAGACCTGACATTTAGATTCAGATTTAACATTTAGATTCAGGCCTAAAATTTAGATTCAGGCCTGACATTTAGATTTAGACCTAACATTTAGATTTAACATTTAGATTTAGACCTGACATTTAGATTCACACCTAACATTTAGATTCATACCTAACATTTAGATTCAGACCTAACATTTAGATTTGTCTCATATTAAACTGCTGTTATTGTGGGGAAAACCTCCATTTAAAATGAACAAAAACAAATGAAGGGATCTCCTAATAACCATCTGGGAAACAGAAAAGGTTTTAAGCTGCAAAAACTAAAAAATTAGAATTGTGTTTTAGTTAATGCATAAAAAACCTGAACAATTCCAAATCTACGTTTTGGTTTTTAATTCATTAAGATGGGGTGAAGACATTTTATGTTCTCGGATAATTCCCTCGTGAGTCTCGTGAATACAGCTGGAGCTGCAGGGATTTTTATTCTGAAAGACTAAAAATCTCCTGACTTGCTTCCTCCCTCGGTGTCTTACCCTGTCCTCCCTCTCTCTGCAGGAGGTGTTAGAGCTGGCCTTCTCTGTCCTCTACGAGTCGGACGAATACCTAAACTTTATTGCTCCTGACAAACACGAGGTCAGACAGCAGCAGCCGGCGGCTTCAGAGCAAACGATGACTTAAAGAGTCAGATTGTCTAAAAGCTTGTCTCTCTCTCTCTTTCTAGTACTGTGTGTGGACCGACGGGCTGAATGCCCTCCTGGGGAAGGAGATGACCAGCGATTACACCAAATCCGACATGGACACCCTGCTCTCCATGGAGATGAAGCTCCGCCTCTTGGATCTAGAAAACATCCACATTCCAGAGGCCCCGCCCCCAATTCCCAAAGAGCCTAGCAACTATGACTTTGTTTACGACTGTAACTAGACCCCCCCCCCCACCCACACACACACACACACACACACACACACACACACACACACACACACACACACACACACACACACACACACACACACACACACACATTAGAACCTGCACCTTCAGTATTCACTGGAACAATCCCTCCTCTCCCTAAACTGGAACATGGAATAAAGGGAATCATGTCAGATAGACTGACGTCTTGAAGGGATCTCTGGGTTTTCCTCCCGCTTCTCGTTAACTGATCACATGGTGCGTACTGATTGTTGCACTTGGGGGACGTTGGCCAGAAGTCGCCATGAGGACAGGAGTCTATGTCCATCCTGCGTCGTCGTCTTCACCCTCCAGCAGCGTCTGAAGTTTATAAAATGTTCACTTTTCCCTCCTTTTACTCTTTAACGTTTTTTCTTTTTCACTCCTGACCGCCAGAGGGCGGGACCTAACTCTCGTTTTGTTGTCTTTTGTTTTTCCTCAGGGTTTTTTTTTTGAAGGAATATTTTGTGTAGCTCAAGAGCAAACGGGAACAAAGAAGATTATTATTATTATTATTTGTTACATTTCCACTAACTGTGGCAGCTAATAGAGGCTGGAGTTCCACTTCTGGACCAATTCTTCTTAAAACAAGTCCCATCTGTCCTCTCGGTCTGCTGCTGAAGACTGTTTAAAGTGAGCATCCGTAAAAATCCACCTTTTCTTTGGGATTCCTGCTGTTGTCAAACCCATCGCTGCTCGTTCCTGCACATAAAACTCCACCGTCGCCGAGTCTCGTTGTAAAGACTGCTGTACACAACATTCCTGAGCAATATTTGATTTGTTTTACTTGTTTCCTCATTTGTAAAATGATCATTTAGTACGATTTTGAAATGGTGACAAAGCCTGGTAGTTTGTACTTGATCAAAGGGAAGTTTTCTGTGTTTCGGATCATATGGCCACAAAAATTGAGAGTTTTATGTATTTTTTTTTATTTAAAAATAGATCCTGGTGTTTATTTCTAGTATGATTTATATATTCTCCCCTTCCCCCCGTTTTTCTTATTTAAAGCTTTTTTTATGTTTTTCTTTAGATTTTTTTCAAAGCCTCTGAAAACTGCTGTTTACATTAAAGAATAAAAACATTCTTGATGCGTCTTTCTTCATAAATCAGACGTATAAAGACCCAAACACGGGGGGCTGAGCTTCAGACCGAATGTGGCCCCAGAGCCATGGGCTGCAGATTGTTGGGAAGCACCAAGTATGGCGTTTAAAGCGTGCCACAACCTGTGCACGCGCATTGGGTCCACAGCGCGCGTGTGAACGGGACTCGCGAGCGAAAATATACATGGCAGCGCGCGCGTGAACGGGACTCGCGAGCGAAAATATACATGGCGAGAGGTCATTTGTGCACTGAGAGGGAGCAAACTGTGTCTGTGAGCGCACAAGGATGTGCACAAGTGACAAACCTGCGTGCGCGCGTTGCCAACGAGCACACGGCAGAGGAAAACGTGCGCGCGCGGCAGCCTCTCTGCGCGCTCGGTTTCTAATTCCGCTCGCTCGGCTGTGAGGAGTTTTGGCACTCTGGAGGCGTGGCCTGTGGCAGATCTTCCCTGTCCTCTGATTGGTTAGTTTACCCCGCACTTTACTCTCTACCTATCTATATAAAAAAATCTGAGATTCAGCAGTTGCTGTCATAGCTCAGCTGGGAGAGCGGGTGACTCTCACTCTGGAGGATCCAGGTTCGAGTCCGGCCAAGGAACATAGAGTTGATGTCATAATTTTCTTTCCTAATTCCTGTGATATTATTTTACAGTTGTGACCGTTCAACTGTCATTAAACGTCCGAATGTTTGCTGGGCAGTGTTTTAAAAAGTGCACATAAGCTAGATGGTTTTAACCAGGTAAAAATAGACTTGTGGGTGTAGGTATGTTCAAGTTTAAAAAGTTCTTGCCTCATTAATGTTTTCTTTATTTTTTTCAGCATTTAATTGACAAATTATCCTTTCAAATAATTAATTGATGAGTTACATAATTGTCCATTTAGAATTGTTGAATGGACTGAGTCAAGTTTGGTGCACTTTATATATTTCAAAACATGTTTTTTTTAATGATGCATATAAATAATTTTAATGTTAATTTATTGAAATATTTCTATTTTTTCATTACCTCACCCTTGTTTTGACAAAAACAAGACCTTGCTGGATAATATCACGGAGAAACTATTTGTTCACAGTACTTGGCTCAGTGAGGATCTGTGTACCAAAGGAGGAGATACTCAGAAATCTGTCTGCAGATTGTTACAACCCAGACTGGAAGTGGTGGGCTGTAATAAGAAAGGAGACCAAACAGAGGAGTGGGGGGTTCAACAACTGATTTATTTAACCAAAGTAAGGATTTACTAAACTTTGGTTAAATAAATCAGTTGTTGAACCCCCCACTCCTCTGTTTGGTCTCCTTTCTTATTACAGCCCACCACTTCCAGTCTGGGTTGTAACAATCTGCAGACAGATTTCTGAGTATCTCCTCCTTTGGTACACAGATCCTCACTGAGCCATGTACTGTGAACAAATAGTTTCTCCGTGATATTATCCAGCAAGGTCTTGTTTTTGTCAAAACAAGGGTGAGGTAATGAAAAAATAGAAATATTTCAATAAATTAACATTAAAATTATTTATATGCATAATTAAAAAAAACATGTTTTGAAATATATAAAGTGCACCAAACTTGACTCAGTCCATTCAACAATTCTAAATGGACAATTATGTAACTCATCAATTAATTATTTGAAAGGATAATTTGTCAATTAAATGCTGAAAAAAATAAAGAAAACATTAATGAGGCAAGAACTTTTTAAACTTGAACATACCTACACCCACAAGTCTATTTTTACCTGGTTAAAACCATCTAGCTTATGTGCACTTTTTAAAACACTGCCCAGCAAACATTCGGACGTTTAATGACAGTTGAACGGTCACAACTGTAAAATAATATCACAGGAATTAGGAAAGAAAATTATGACATCAACTCTATGTTCCTTGGCCGGACTCGAACCTGGATCCTCCAGAGTGAGAGTCACCCGCTCTCCCAGCTGAGCTATGACAGCAACTGCTGAATCTCAGATTTTTTTATATAGATAGGTAGAGAGTAAAGTGCGGGGTAAACTAACCAATCAGAGGACAGGGAAGATCTGCCACAGGCCACGCCTCCAGAGTGCCAAAACTCCTCACAGCCGAGCGAGCGGAATTAGAAACCGAGCGCGCAGAGACACTGCCGCGCGCGCACGTTTTCCTCTGCCGTGTGCTCGTTGGCAACGCGCGCACGCAGGTTTGTCACTTGTGCACATCCTTGTGCGCTCACAGACACAGTTTGCTCCCTCTCAGTGCACAAATGACCTCTCGCCATGTATATTTTCGCTCGCGAGTCCCGTTCACGCGCGCGCTGTGGACCCAATGCGCGTGCACGGGTTGTGGCACGGGTCTGACGCGATACCAAGTCTTCCTTGGTTGGTTTGGATGGGTGTCCAGGGTGGATGATGTGTTATTTTGTGTTTTGCTTCTAGAAAAGGTTGGACCAACCTGTTCTTGTTGACCTTGTGGTTTTTCTGGAAGGCTGTTCTGGAACATAGAAGCAGGGGCGCCTCCAGAAAATTTGATAGGGGTGGCCAGATGGGGCCAAAGAAATTTTTGGGGGTGGCACACCAAATTGGTCCTTGTGGTAACTCTGGGAGTCTGCAGGTCAAGCGCATTGTTTGGTGTTTAGTGGAGTTATTTTCTAGAGAAGGCCTTCCACAAGCGATCTTAACAGATGAGGTACAAATTTCAATTAAGAGATGAAACTATTTTGGAGCTAAATGAACTGATGTCTCCTCCTTCTTCCATCACGCCTGCTTGTGTAACACAGATCCCAGAATCCGCATGATGAGGATTAAAAGGGCACATCTCAGGAAATACTAAAAATGTCGACCTCATCAGTAACATGTCTCTGGTGTTTGAGAAGAACTTTAGTCTCAGCTTTAATTCTTGTGTTGGTGAGTCGGGTTTTGGTGCGTGGGTCCTTCCCGTCGCAGCACAGTTGTTCTGCTCGGCGTTCCCTCCGTGTGACTATCTGCTCGACGGCTCTATTTGCCGTCCAGCTGAGGGGACAGATGCTCATTAGTGACTCTGTCTGCTTCTCGGGTTTGATTCTGTCCTTCTGTCTCGCTCGCTTTCTGCAGAGTCTGATTAAAGTTACAAGATATTATTTTAAAAGAAAAAAATCATTAAGTGCCAGCATTTGTATTACTGTTGCAGGAAAGCTTTTTATCTTGACAACTTAAAACCCTAAAAGCCAAAATTCAAAGAAACGTGATGTTAAACATCTGAATTTTATCTTATTTTTCGGGAACTGAAACATTCCCACATTTCCTCTCCAAATCTTATTTTTGATTCCCAAGTCAGGTGGAAACCTCACATGGAAACCTTTGAGAGCAACGTTAGGCACAGTGTGTGATAAAATATTAGCGTTGGCACAACTGAGATGTAATTTATCATAAATACGAGTTATTTCCATCAGCCTGAATTAATATCTGGAGATAAAACGGTTGGTTTCAGCGAAGCTCCAATAAAACGTGTCTACAGCAGCGTCTTAGGCGAGTCCGTGTGTGTATTAGCTGTGGTGGTCCAGTGGTTAAACATCTGCATGAGCGTCCGAACACTAAGCCACATGTCCGCCTCTAGTCGGGGAGAGGAGCAGGGCCTGATGACGAGGTTAGTTTCTGTTGAGGCTTTACAGGATTTTCAAAATAAAACTCAAACAGGAGAATGAAAGCAGCCAAAAAAGGGTTCAAATGGAAAATGCTCCAAATAGTGGATTTTCCAAGATACGGCCTCTTTAACCGATCGATGGTTGATGCTCTCCTAAGTCTCTTTTCCCAACTTTTGGTTCTATTCTAGAGTGAAGCTGTCTTTCCGTCTGATCGGGAGCTAATTTGGGAGAAAGTTTACTCCCCTTGATATTCCACTTGGGAGCTCTTGAGTCACTTGGGATGACTTTGAAGATGTGAGCAGTGCAGAGGAGGAGGAGGAGGGGGGAAGTGATGAGGAGGAGACTTCCTTTGATGTGACAGAAGCTGAGAACGTCCTCCTCATGTCCCTGGCTGTGAGTTTTAAAAGCCACAGTGATGAGACCACCTTGGGGTGTGTGGGATTGAAGCAAGACTACAGCAGCTTCTGGTGTCTATATTTACCTCTGCAGAAGCTGCCAGGGCCTGCTTGTGTAGGACAGCAGCAGCACGGAAATACAGTCAAGACCCCGAGTCTTTATTCAGTGAAAATCAAGATGGAAGGCCTCAACTCTGCTACTGTAGTTTTATAAAACTGGTACATTTATTGTCAAATGTTAATATGACAACTAGTTGTATAATATAACGTAATTATAGACAATAAAATTAGCTCTCGCCACCTGCAGCTCCTCCTCCAGAGGAAATCAAAACTCTCTCTCTAAAAGTTCATGTTTAAAGAATATTTTATAATGTATTTATTATAAAACTAAACTAAAATAAGCACTTCTGCCACATGTAGTTATTGGATTCCCCGCTAGAGGGCATCAAAAACCCAGAAATAAAACAGCAGGTTTAGGAAATCAGTCATTTAAAGACGATCCTTGCAGTTTTTTTTATTCTACATTTTTCAAAATAAAACCAAAAGGTTTGATTTAAACTTTTCTATTGAACATGTGATCTCTGTACCCCTTTTTGCATTTTATTAACATGATTGGTATGTTTTTAAACAAATAAAAATATATAAGCAGGCTAATATAAAATTTACCTAATTTGGTGCTAAATACTGATAAGGTCATTGTAGTGGGGGATTTTAACATTCATGTGGACAGTGAAAATGATAGCCTCAATGTAGCCTTTAGTAATATCTTAGACTCAATTGGTTTTACTCAAAGAATACTTAGCCCCACCCACTCCTGCCATCATACATTAGACCTTGTGCTGACTTATGGCATTGAGTGTGAGGAAATAACATTTCCACATAATCCAGTCCTCTCGGACCACTTTCTGATAACCTTTGAGTTTTTTATAACTGAGTTCTCGAGACATGAAAGTAAATTTCACTATAGTCGGTCTCTATCTGACAATGCAGTTGCATCTTTTAAATCAACTGTTCCATCTTTACTGTCCTCAGCATCTCAGAGGAACATAACAGAGGGCAATATTTTCAGTTCTAGCCCCTCACAAATTGATGCCTTAGTTCATCATGTTAATTCTTCTTTACGTGTGGCATTAGATGATGTTGCCCCTTTAAAAAAGAAGGTAATTAGGGACAGGAAGTTGGCTCCCTGGTTTCACTCTCATTTACGAGCCTTAAAACAAAACTCTAGAAAATTGGAGAACATGGCGCTCTACGCACCATGAGGCCTACCTATCCTGGAAAAATAGTCTTGTGCTTTATAAAAATAAGCTTCGACAAACTAGAACTGCTTATTTCTCAGCGTTAATTGAGGAGAATAAGAATAATCCTAAATTTCTTTTCAGTACAGTTGCCAAACTTACGCAGAATCATAGCTCTGAGCCATCTATTCCCTTAGCCCTCAGCAGCAATGACTTCATGGGAGTTTTTACAAGTAAAATTAATTATATTAGAAACAAAATCTTTAGCATCCTCTCTAATGCGATTTCTTCTTCCTCAGTAAGTGAGGCAGCATCAGAGGTAACTGTAGAACCTCATCTGTGCTTGAACCGTTTTGATCCAGTTGAGCTTTCAGAGTTATCAAAAATATTAGCTTCATCTAAACCTTCAACTTGCATTTTGGATCCAATCCCAAACAAATTATTTAAAGATGCATTTCCTTTGGTTACTGCCCCCATTCTAGATATAATCAATCTATCCTTAGTAAATGGATATGTACCACAAGATTTTAAGGTTGCTGTAATCAAACCTTCACTGAAGAAGCCATCTCTGGATCCAGATGACCCAATGAATTATAGACCAATATCTAACCTTCCAGTTTTATCCAAAGCCCTGGAGAAAATAGTGGCCAATCAGTACTAGTTTACCTGCTGAATTTATCATAAACTCACCCAGTGAGTCGTGGTGGATGACTGCTTATACTGAGCCAGGATCCTCTGGAGGTTTCTTCCTGTTAGAAGGGAGTTTTCCTCTCCACTGTCGCTGCATACTTGCTTAGTATGAGGATTGCTGTAAAGACTGACACTGGTTAGTGACTCGATGCGAACTGCTGGGTTCCTTATACAGGAAACTTTTTACCGGTTGGCTTAATGAACTGACCTGTATTGGGATGTTTACTGTGTGAAGGTCCTTGAGACGACTCGGGTCGTGATTTGGCGCTTCATAAATAAACTGAATTGAATTAACGTAACTCCAGGTCAGATGGAACATTTGGACACACCGAGAAGAAACTTCCCGACTGAAGAACACATAGCTGTCAGGCACGGTGGTGGCAGCATCATGCTGTGGTAGAATACGAATGGGGGAGTTTGAGTGAAACCTGGACACTCAGTTGAGAATACACGAGAAAACACTCAGGCTGATAGCTTTTAATGATTTATTAAAACAAATATTATTCACAGCTTTATTAAAAAAAATGTTTTAAATATGTAACAAAATAAACTGATTCATAAGTTAATCAAATGAAATCACAACACTTTATAAATCTCGTATTTTCTTCTAGAGCTACATGTGGCGTGACTCCAAGGTATTTGTCAGGGTCAAGCTAACTTCCTGATCCGTTCCAGTGACGCTATAAATGTCATTTTTACATGAATGAGATGTTTATCGTCTCCAACAAGCAGCTCTGTAACTGCTGAGCATTCGCTGCCATCAGATCGGACTTGTCATTCTACCTGTCGAATCCCTAAATAACAGGAATGAGTGACGGGAACAGAATAAACTGTGTTTGCTGTTTTAGGTGAATCTGCGGTTAGTTTACCAAAGCTGTGTACTCCTGCTTGGTTTAAGTATCTCCCACTAAAACGGTCCCTTTAGTTTATCATTTATGAAATGTGCACGACCAGAGTTTATTTGGTAATATACTCAGTGAGGTCAGGCTAAAGTCACACGTTGTCCTGGTTTAAAAGTGACGGAGGGAGGGGACTTTCTGTCTCCTGAACCACCAAAGTCCTCGAACCTGAAACACAAAAGAAAAAACTGAATCTTCGTTCACCTAAATTCGCCTCTAGCCCAGTGGTGCTGGTCAGCCAAGCAGAAGATCTGGTACCAAGGTAGCGAGCCCCAACCCCCTTTCCCGAGGGCATGTTTTAGTTGTTTCCTAGTTCCAACACACCTGATAATAAAAATCAGGTGTGTTGAAGCAGGGAAACAACTAAAACATGCAGGGTAGTGGACCTCGAGGACCAGAGCGGGAGGCCTCTGGTCTTTCTGAGTTTCTTACCCCTCTTGTAGGTCATCCATCATGGAATGGCAGGGAAAGAGTCTGGAGTGTCGACATGCAGTTTGATGCAGGTGGCTGAGGGTGGCAAGTGGAGGTCAACCAACAGGGCTGTGCTCTTTCAGGCTGACTGAACCTCCCAGACCACTGCAACACCCTCCTAACTGGTCTCCCAGCTCCTGTAAAACCTCCACAGATGGTCCAGGGGGCCGTGAGTCTGGCCTTAAGGGTTTACAGCTTCAGCTGTAATGTCCCGCCTGACATCTAAACTTTATTAGAACTGCTTTTGGTTTTGCTTGCGGTCACTCCCGCAGGAACAGCGGCTACCAGTTCCTGTCTGAGGCTTTTGGGACGCCGTTAGGGTTGTCACGGTAACCGATGTAGCGGTAAACCCCGGTAAAAAAAAAGTTGACAATAATAATAACCGTCTTGTTTTTAAAACATATATTATCTCAGTGGGTTACCGTGGCTGCGGTGTAGGCGCGGTGACCCTTACCAGCCACCGTATCATCTGCTGAATTTGCCGGCAGCACATGCGCACTTTGTTGTTTACAACCAAAACTTTATTGAAGCTAAAGCTGAAATAATGGCCAAAGGACAGGGTATCTGCAGGTTTAAGGGAGCCAAATTTAAGACTTTTTAAGACCTTTTTTAAGGCCACTTTGACCAAATTTAAGCTATTTTTAAAATTTAATTTAAGCTATAATTTCCAGCTTTTGCCTGGAACCGGTGCTAACCACGTTACGAACGTGGGATTAGCCATCCAGTTACCATTAAACTTGCACTTCCCCATGGCGCAAGCTCCCACTAACTTAACCAGCTAACATGCTCATCTAAAAATAGCCCCCTTTCACAAGCAACTGAATGTGTACGGTTCCGCTTACGCCAACATCGTACACAAAAAAATGCTGAACACTAACTAGAAATTCATGAAAATTTTATAGAAATAAAAGAATCTTGTTTAGTGGGCCTTTGGTAATTTAAGACCTTTGGAAACTGTATTTAAGGATTATTTGTCATTTTTAAGGATTTTTAAGGCCTTAAATTTGGAAAAGCCAATTTAAGACTTTTTAAGACTTTTTAAGGACCCGCGATACCATGAAAGGAGGAGACGGCAGCGCTCAGGACATTTATTATCCCTCAAAGAAGTCAAAGTGGGAAGTACAGGCATCTTTTGGATATGTGAAGAATGCCGAGGGACAGCTGATAGAAGACGGCTATCCTGTTTGCAGCACGTGCAGAAAAAGTGTCTGTGAAAGGCAGCAACGCTTCAAATCTCATGACACATCTGCGTGACCATCACCCACAACTCTACAGTCAACGCAAGGCAAGCTAACGTTAGCGTTTTAGCTAAAATGCGTGATCCGAGGATTTGGGTTGAGGGAGAATGCAACGAGTCGCTATATAAAGCAGCCGCAGCGCCGCTACCTGCATATAAACAGTGTCGCGGACACCGCCATGTTGAAATGACGCTATGCATTACGGGGCTCCCAGGGGCAGATCAGAGTTGGTCTCTCTCCGAGAATAATTATGAATTTAACAACGATTACTGCCTGATGACATTTTCCCACATCTGCAAAGCTCACTGGAAGGACACAAACCGAGGATGATATTTTCCTGATATAGGGTTTATTACTCAAGTAAGGGTAAAAAAGTATCTGAGTAGAAGGCTACTTGAGTACTGAGTATCATCTGATCTAATATTTTTAAAATGATGACATCAAACAGACATAAAATAAGAAGTTATGGGCAAATATTGGCATTTTAAAGACTAAAGGGGAAAAATGTAAACAAATAAACAACATAATTACAAAATAACACATTTTAGGCAAAATTTAGACACAAACTCAGGACAATATTTCCTGACATACAGGGTTTATTTAGTTGTGCGAAAATGTAGCACGTTTAAAAAAAATACTGCGATAATACCGAAAACCGTGGTAATTTTGGTCACAATAACCGTGACGACCCTAGACGCCGTTAGTGAAACCACGCTACAGTGACTCGTGTTCTCACGGGTCCAAAACCACGCAGGTGTTTGAGAACTTACAGTCTTGTGTATCTGCTCCAGTCGTCTGGGCTGAGGGAAGGTCTGGTCGAAGCCATGGCGGAGTTTATGTGCGCCTGAGCCAGCAGCAAGCCTGGCTGGCTGGAGGCTGAACGAGTGCACACACACTCCTCCTACACACACACACACACACACACACACACACACACACACACGATAATGCTGGATTAACAACCCATTTCTGCTTTGGCACAAAGCAGCAGAAACAATCTCTTACTTTGGACTTCCTGTAGTTGTTCTTGATGTTGTGAATGTTTTGCTGTAGGCGCTCCAGCTGCTCCGGGCCGAGCTCGCTGAACCCCGTCTGGATGGAGGGCATGAAGGCAGGAGGGAGAGTGCTGACCGGCTCTCGGACCGACCCTGCTGGGAGCTCATGGGTGGTGTTGGGTCCAAAGAGACACCAGGAGTTCTAGGAAAACATCCAGACATGGATGAGATGATCGGTACCTTCTGTTGGGTGCAGAAACATCTGGGCTCACCTGTCTGGAAGCAGGCGAGTTATCTAGCTCTGACTCGTACGAACTTCCGAAGTAAAGCCTCCAGACGTTGCTTTGCTCGTCCTCCGCCTGAAACTCGGCGGACGGGTCCAAGGTTACACTTTGATCCCGCTCTTCCACCGAATCGTCCGAGCCGCTGCCGTGGTTTGGGAAGATCATGGAGGACAGGCTCATGTCGCTGTCTGAGCCGGAGGTCAGATCCTGGTGTCCACACAAAGGCAGGAGATCTGTGTTTAGCCTTGCCGCACCTCAGTGGCTAAACCTCCGACTTGTCTTACATGTGATGCTGGGCTGCTGTGGACCGCCTCCAGCTGCGCGTTGTAGAGCAGGGCCTTCAGGTCTGCTCCGGTGAACTGCTCCGTCGCCGCTGCCAGCTGTTCCAGGTCAACATCTGGAGCCAGAGAGAGGCCAGAGCTCAGAGCTTTCAGAATCTCCACGCGAGCCTCCTGCAGACGTGGAGAAAAATCGTTACTGCATGAGTCATGCAGCACCTCTGAGGGTGATAATGATGCTGAGTCAACAGGCCTGGTCTGGAGGGGGGCAGTAGAGGGACTTGTCCAGTCGTCCAGGTCTCAGCAGGGCTGGGTCGATCAGGTCTGGACGGCTGGTGGCTGCCAGAACGTAAACACCTAAAGTCAACAAATAAACACGAGATTTTAGATCTGCTGGTCAATCCGAGGTCCCCACAGCGAGAGAAAACTCACAAGTTTGAGACGCCCAAATTTCCCAGGTGAGAAGCTCAGACTTCACATGATCCAATTACCCGGGACACAGACTTTTCGAGCCGCTTCCCTCAGGCAGGAGGTTACGGTCCATCCGGACCAGAACCTCCCGCCATAAGAACAGCTTCTTTCCATCTGCCGTTAGACTTGTGAACAGCTTATAAACACAAAACCATGATTGTCTGCTGTACTTGACATAACGTCACGTTATCGGCCATGTTACCATTACCTGCCTTTTTTATAGCTGAATGTTTTATGCTAGTTTTATTATATTTTATTCTACTTATTCTATTTCTGAAATTTATTATTCATGTTATATGTAGCACATTAGTACCGAAACAAGTTCCTAGTTTGTGAACTGCTTGTTCACTGACAATGGCAATAAACCTTTTCTGATTCTGATTCTGATTAGCATCAAGATGCCACAGAAATGTGAGACACCTTCTTTACATGAAACACGGACATTACAATAATAAACCTGCAGAAACAAACACCTGTTCAACTGGCTCTTCTTGCACATTAACTCGTTCGCTGCCAGCGTTTTTACGGTTTTTTTAAGAGTCACAGAACGCTAGGATGACGTCGACGCCTAAACAACCAAAACAAAGCGGAGACTCGCCTCTTACATCAGGAAGAATCCGCGCGTTTCGAGCGTTATCCGTTCATTCGTAATCTGTTGTTGAATTGTGATCGGCAGACGCTTTTCCGGTTTGCGCCTCATTTTTTTTACAGCAGCGGCCCAAAACGATCTCCTAACACATGGATGTTCTGCTTCCTGATCACGTGACTTGTGACGTACGCGGACAAAGATCGGCTTTAGAGCTGAGATGTTTGATCTCACGGTGCGGGGGCTCGTCCGACGCCCACACAGTAACAACACGGCTTTAGTCGTCATTGGCAGTGAACGAGTTAAGCAACCGATGTGAATTTCATCGGGCTGAGCTTCCCGCTGCAGAACTAAACAGCAGATGTGTCTAAAGCCTGCGATGCGTGGACTGGTTTGTGCAAACAGACCCTTCTGGAAGGAACACGAGGCGACGCGTTACCCTGAAGCCCTTCGACTCCGTCCAGCTGGGCGAGGAGCTGGTTGACCACGCGGTCGGTGACGCCGGTGCTGTCGTGGCCTCTCCTCGGGGCCAGGGAGTCGAACTCGTCGAAGAACAGGATGCACGGTTTGGCAGCTTGTGCCCTGAAACGGACAGCAGAGGAAGAAGTTCACTACTATGCTCAAAATGAAGTGGGAGGAGCTTAAATATCCACTGACCTCTGGAAGACATCACGGACTCCTTGTTCGCTGGCACCGATGTATTTACTCAGAAGTTCTGGTCCCTGGAAAACACGTTTGATTAGATTCTGATCTAGAGCAGATTAAGCTAATCTGGACTTAATCTGATGTCCCGTTACCTTGATGCTGATGAAGTTCATGCCGCTGTCTGTAGCCACAGCTCTGATCAGCAGCGTCTTCCCTGTCCCGGGAGCTCCATACAGCAGAATTCCGGAGCGATGTCGGATGGGAAGATGGGAGAAGAGGATGGGATACTGCAGATCAACACAAAACGACAAACAACGGATCAGAAAACTCCAGAATTTACCGTTTCTATAATGTTTCGTGTTTTTTTTTTTTTTCCACAAAAATTTAAGCGTAATAATCCCCACCTTGGCAGGGAGCATGATGGTGTCCATCAGCTGCTGTCGCACCTCTCTCAGCCCGCCCACCCTCTCCAGCCCGACTCCCCTGGGTGGATGGAGGTCCGCCCCCCACAATGAGGGAGGTGTGAATCTGTTCAGAGCCTCTGCAAAGTCCCCCCGTGTGAGCCGGACAGCTGAGAGACACGGGGACAGGAACGATCAGCTAAAAGGTCTCCAGAAACAAAAAGTCTAAAGGGCGGCGCTCTAGTTTGCTCCACGGACCTTGGCCAGTCGGCCCTGTTCGTGTGGCGTTGGCGTGGGTTGCACGCTCCACAAGCAGAGCAAGATCTTGGGCTGTGTATCCCTCCGTCTCCTTGGCAACAGCTCCCAGGTCAAGAGCATCAGACAGGAAGGACTTCTTTAGGATCAGACGGTGCAGGATTTCTGATCTCTGCGCCTGAAAACAACAACGCACACAGGATTAGTTTTAATCCCACAGGCGGTTTCATCCTTAGTGTCCACGTGCCGTCACATCCACCACGAGTGGCGATTTCACTCTCGGGCTTCTGCTCTTCGATTCGAATTTTCCTTCCAGGGTTTAATGCAGGAGTCGGGAACCCTGGACCTGGAGAGCCACTATCCAGCTCGGTTTGGAGGTCGCCCTGCTTCCACAAAGCTGAATCACCTGTTCAACTGCTCACCGGGCTCTGCTGGTTAAAATCAGGTGTTTTAAGGCAGGACAACCTCTAAAATGTGCTGGATAGCGGCTCTCCAGGACCAGGGTTCCCGACCCGTGGTTTAATTTCTAAACAACATCCATCTTCAGTGATCAGAGATTCCAAAGCCTCCATGAAGGCTCAATTAAGCCGGGCGTACCCTGTGCGACTTTTTCACTCGCAGCACTCAGCTTCAGCTCAGACTGTACAACTTCCTCGCAGGGCAGATCTCACGAGTCATGCGCTCACACTGCACGACCCAGTTCTCGGATGCGACCTGACTGCTCACACTGGACGTCTGGTAGCAACACGTCGGACGTAAAAATATGCTAAAAATAGCAGTTTTTACTCAACACGTCAAACTTTTTGGTCTTGTTTTGCCAGTTGTCCTTCGGGAATGCTGCAGGAGGACACACAGGGATTTATGGGGGTTGGACGAGGAAAACGAAATAAAGAAAGTAAATCTGTGTTTTGTGATCAGTTTAATTTGACATGAACACGACAAACACGCTTTCTTGACAATCTTCGTGAGTAAAAAATCGTGTAGAAATAAAAACGAACAACGTGTGTTATTAGGGAAATAGCGGGCGAGCGGCGTTGATGCAGGATTGAGAATGCGCCGTGAGCGGTTCTGATACTTTTTGGGTCGCAGCTGCTCGCAGCGCCGCTTCAACAGTGCGATACCTTCAGGAGGGACGAGCGAAATATTAAACACGCCAGAAGTCCGTGCGATCTCACGACTGCTGATCGACAGCTGGTCACGTGGTGTTAATCGCCTCTCGTAACCCCCTGTACACGACCGCTCGGCGCAAAACTCGCCCCGATCTCATGGATTCTCGCACGACTGGAAAATCAGCTCAAAAAAGTGAAAAAGTCGCACAGTGTACGCCCGGCTTTAGACGAAACTGTCCCTTAAGTATTGTTGCTGAAGGTTCTAGAATGTCCTGGAAGACTTCTAGTCTCAGAAGTTTGACAGAAATGATTGGACTCGTCTGTCACCTAAAAGTGACGGGAAACTAGTTCCGGATGTTCAGGAATTACCCCGAGAGCACGAAGGCTCAGACCTGCAGCTGACCCGAACCCGAGCGGACATGAGACGCCGCTGACCTCGACTGAAGTCTGCAGCTCCCTCTGTGGAGGAGCCAAATGTCTTCTGGTGAAATGTTTTACAGTCAGGTGGAACATTTGGACACACCGAGAAGAAACTTCCAGACTGAAGAACACGTAGCTGTCGAGCACGGTGGTGGCAGCATCATGCGGTGGTGGAATGTGAACGGGGGAGTTTGAGTGAAACCTAGACACACAGCTGTGTGTTCCTACAGGAGAACGACTCCAGACACACCTGACTAACAAGACATTCACGCCCAGGTCGGGGTTAAATGACGCTAACCTGGTCGGGTGGTTGGATGCTGATAAATCCCTGGATGTAGTGGGAGCCCTGCACCTCCGTGAGCGACGGGTGAAGCGAGTGTTCGCTCTGGCTGGTGATGATCAGACTCACCAGGCTGGAGTGCTCCACCACCTCATCGACCAGATCCTTCAGACCTGCAGACACAAACCGACCATCAGGATACGAGTCACACGTTTACTCCCTCTCCGCCGTTCACGGGACATCTCCAGATGTACCCTGGGCGATGTGCTGCTGCAGCAGCGCCTCGGGTCCGTGCTCGTGCTCCGGTGAGGTTGGCGCACGCGTCAGATGGTCCAGGTCATCGAGCAAAATAACAGACGGCTGCCTCCACTCTGCCTGTTCAAAAACGTCCTGCAGAATCTGTCTGACAGTGTCGGCCCGTTTGCCTGGATAAATAACAATAAACACATTTCAGGTTGCCTTTGATTCACCGAACGTTTCCTGAATCCATCCGGACCTTGAAGCTTTTTGCAGTCCACCACTTCCACATGTGCGTCCAGGTCGTCTCTGGATTTCCTGCAAAGCACTCGTGACAAACTGCTCTTCCCACTGCCCTGCGGGCAGAAGCATCGTTTTAGTACTCGTCCTGTCGGCACCACTAACCGGGGTGTAAAGACGCACCTTAGCGCCGGTGACGAGCAACGCTCCCCCCTTCAGGCCTCGTCCAGGAGTACAAAGCTGTCCTGAGAGAAGACCGGCCAGAAGGTTGTTGGAAATAAACTCAAATCCAGTTCCAATAAGCTCATCAATCCCACTGGGGAGAGACCATACCATGTTTATTTATATAAACAGCATGACAGCTGACCAAGGTGCTGTACAGCAAGGAACAGAGCAGCTCATAAAAAAGAAAAAAAAGAATCAAACAACCTAAAGATTAAAAATAGATAAATTAAAGCGGCATCACAACAATAAACAACTAATGAATCATAAAACACGGGACTAAAAAATATGAGAAAATAAAAGCAGGGAAAACACAGAAAAACACCAAAGGCAATCAGTCCTAAGATATAGTAAAAGTAGGTCAATGACCAAAGGCAAGGTCTTCAACGCCGACTTCAAACGGCCTAATGCACATGTACATGGGGGGGAAGGGGGGGGCATTCCAGAGTTTGGGGGCAACAAAAGAGAAGGCTCCCCATGAGATTTGTAGTGCCTCTACGGGATGCACAGTAGTAGCTGATCTGCTGATCTCAGGGATCTAGAAGGAGCATACGGTTGTGTTGGCTCAACGAGGTAGGTGGGAGTTGGGCCTTTCAATGCTTTATAGACAAACGGTAGGATTTTGAACTGTATCCGGTACCGCACAGGTAACAGGTGTTAAGCCGGGCGTACACTGTGCGACTTTTTCACTTTTTTGAGCCGATTTTCCACTCGTGCGAGAATCCACAAGATCGGGGCGAGTTTTGCGCCGAGCGTCGTGTACAGGGGGTTACGAGAGGCGATTAACACCACGTGACCAGCTACCGATCAGCAATCGGACTTCTGGCGTGTTTAATATTTCGCTCGTCCCTCGTGAGGGTATCCACTGTTGAAGCGGCGCTGCGAGCAGCTGCGACCCAAAAAGTATCAGAACCGCTCACGGCGCATGCGCAATCCTGCATCAACGCCGCTCGCCCGCTATTTCCCTAATAACACACGCTGTTCGTTTTTGTTTCTACACGTTTTTTTACTCACGAAGATTGTCAAGAAAGCGTGTTTGTCGTGTTCATGTCAAATTAAACTGATCACAAAACACAGATTTACTTTCTTTATTTCATTTCCTCATCCAACCCCCATAAATCCCCGTGTGTCCTCCTGCAGCACTCCTGAAGGACAACAGGCAAAACAAGACCAAAAAGTCTGACGTGTTGAGTAAAAACTGCTATTTTTAGCATATTTTTAGGGCCAACGTGTCGCTACCAGACGTACAGTGTGAGCAGTCAGGTCGCATCCGAGAACTGGGTCGTGCAGTGTGAGCGCATGACTCGTGAGATCTGCTCTGCGAGGAAGTCGTACAGTTTGAGCTGAAGCTGAACGCTGCGAGTGAAAAAGTCACACAGAGTCCGCCCGGCTTAAGCGGGCGAGGATGGGAGTAATGTGACAACGTCTGGAGGTATTTGTGAGGAATCTAGCTGCGGCGTTCTGTACTCGCTGAAGACGCTCAATGGAGGAGACCTTATCACCAATGAGCACCGAGTAGGCACAGTCCAGTCGTGAGATAATAGAAGCGTGGATGACGGATTCCAGATGAGGTCTCTTAACTATGGACTTTAGGCGGGTGATGCAGCGCAGGACTTGACAGTAGCATTAACTTGCGAGGTCATGGACAGGTCAGAGTCGAGTCTCGCTCCCAGACTAGTGACACAGGGTTTCAGGTTTAGCAATGGAAGAGAAGTGTCGTCAGGTGTGTGCTTGGAATTTTTGGGATTAAAAACAAAAATGTCTGTCTTATTTTCACTGAGGCAAAGAAAGTTTGCCGAAAGCCAGTTTCTGTCTTCAGAGAGGCAGTCAACGAGTAGGTGAGTGGAATCAGGTTTATTTAAAGAGCAAGTCACCCCCAAATAAACTTTTTTTTGCTGATAAACTAAATAAACGAGTGTCTAATCGTGCTGCAGACACGTATCGTCAATAATTTGGCACTTCAGTGCATCTTGGTTCAAATTTAAATATTCTGCCTAAAACTGGCAGTGTTGTGCCGTCGTCAGGTAAAAACTCTGCACTGTATTTTAATTTAAATCTGCCACCGCTATTGGCTAAGAAGTATGCTATGATGTAAACTGGTACATTATGATGTCACAATGCTGTCGTGAGCCTGAGTGTGTGTGTATTTGTCAGCGGCTCCGCGCTCTCGATCTGCCAGGCAACAGTATGTGTTGCATTTTTCAAACATGAAGTGGGAGTGGAGTTAGACTCTGGTAGGGGTGACTTGCTCTTTAAAGCCAAATAAACCTGACAGTCGTCTGCATAGAGGCGGTAACTCATTCCAAGTTTCGCCAAAATCCTTCCCAGTGGTAACAAGTAAATTAAGAGCCCCAAGACTGAACCTTGAGGCACCCCCCCAGGGTAGCGGCACAGATGGAGAGGAGCAGTCATCAATATGGACGCTAAAATGTCTCTCTGACAGGTGGGACCAAAACCAGTTAAGTGGGGCCCCTTTCACTCCTGCCCACAATTCAAGCTTCCTAAGTAGGATATTATGGTCGACTGTGTCGAAGGCAGCCGATAGGTCCATGAATAACAGCAGAACATGGGAACCCGCATCAGTTGCCACTAAAATGTCATTTAGCACACGGACGTGAGCGGATTCTGTGCTATGGTACGGCCTGAAACCAGACTGAAAATGGTCGAGGAGGCAGTAATCATCCAGATGAAGTGACAGGTGAGTGTGAACTAACTGAGAAAATCAGCCAATGAGAAAAACCGAGGGAAAATAAAACCTACTTACAGAAGAAAGGCTTACCCAAGAGTACGAGGAGATGGGAGCTCTGGATTAGGAGCTTCTTCAGAAGAAGTCACAGCAGGTCGGTCAACTGGCTGTCTGTCCACCTGAAAGAGACGAGTCGTAACTAAACATCACCGCCGGTGTAAACAAAAAGGTTGTGCTGTTGATTATGTGGATGTTTATAATTAAAGGTGCACTAGGGGCTGAATGGTGGCGCAGTGGCTAGCACCGCTGCCTCGCAGCACGAAGGTTGCAGGTTCGAAACTCGGCTGCGGCCTTTCTGCGTGCAGTTGCGTGTTCTCCCCATGCATGCGTGGGTTTCCTCCGGGTTCTCCGGTTTCCCCCACTGATCACAACATGCCCTATAGGTTATAAACTGTAGGTTGCTTTGGATAAAAGCATCTGCTAAATAAACAAACATAAGAATGACATCACATGGTAAACATCAAGTAAATCGCTGTTCTGCACTGTAGCTGCTCATCCTGTAACTAACCTTAAATCTAAGTTTTATTTGTGTATTTTCTGTCATGTTGGTTTTAATGTTCTTGTTATTCTTGCTAATGGAAAGCACATTAAAGTGCCCTTGTGTATGAAATGTGCTGTATGGACAAAGCTGCCTTGCCTTCATACTGCGTCCTATAAAACATCGTTATGCTGATTTACTCATTTTTGTATATCTTAAATGTACTTTCAGCCTCAGATCCATCTATTCTCTTCTGCTCATCCGGAGTCGGGTCGCGGGGGCAGTAGCCTAAGGACAGAGGCCCAGACTTCCCTCTCTCCAGCCACTTGGGCCAGCTTCTACGGGGGAATCCCAAGGCGTTCCCAGGCCAGGTGAGAGACATAGTCCCTCCACCGTGTCCTGGGTCTATCTTTAGGTCTCCTCCCGGTTGGACGTGCCCGGAAAACCTCACCAGGGAGGCGTCTAGGAGGCATCCTGACCAGATGACCGAGCCACCTCAACTGGCTCCTCTGGACGTGGAGGAGCAGCGGGTCTACTCCGAGCCCCTCCCAAATGACCGAGCTTCTCATCCTATCTCTAAGGGAGAGCCCAGACACTCTTCGGAGAAAACTCATTTTGGCCGCTTGTATCCGTGATCTCGTTCTTTCGCTCACTACCCAAAGCTCATGACCATAGGTGAGGGTAGGAACGTAGATGGACCGGTAAATCGAGAGCTTCGCCTTCTGACTCAGCTCTCTCTTCACCACGACAGACCGGTACAACGCCCGCATCACTGCAGATGCAGCACCAATCCGCCTATCGATCTCACGCTCCAGTTTTCCCTCACTCGTGAACAAGACCCCGAGATACTTAAACTCCTCCACTTGGGGCAGGACCTCATCCCTGGGCCGGAGAAGGCATTCGACCCTTTTTCGACTCAAGACCATGGTCTCAGATTTAGAGGAGCTGATTCTCATCCCAGCTGCTTCACACTCGACTGTGAACCGCTCCAGCGAAAGCTGAAGATCACGTTCTGATGAAGCCAACAGGACATCATCTGCAAAAAGCAGAGACCTGATCCTCAGGCCACCAAAACGGATGCCCTCCACATCTTGGCTACACCTAGAAATCCTGTCCATAAAGGTTATGAACAGAATCGGTGACAAAGGGCAGCCTTGGCCGAGTCCAACTCTCACTGGGAACGAGCCCGACTTACTGCCGGCAATGCGGACCAAGCTCTGACACCGGCCATACAGGGACCTAACAGCCCGTATCAGAGGACCTGGTACCCCATACTCCCGGAGTACCCCCCACAGGACCCCCTGAGGGACGCGGTCAAACACTTTCTCCAAATCCACAAAACACATGTAGACTGGTTGGGCGAATTCCCACGCACCCTCCAGGATCCCCCCTAAGGGTATAGAGCTGGTCCAGTGTTCCAAGGCCAGGACCAAAACCACATTGCTCCTCCTGAATCTGAGGTTCAACAATCCGACGGACCCTCCTCTCCACAACCCCTGAATAGACCTTATCAGGAAGGATCAGGAGTGTGATCCCCCTGTAGTTGGAACACACCCTGCGGCCCCCCTTTTTAAATAAGGGGACCACCACCAGTGGGACTGCCCCCGATGTCCACGCGATATCGCAGAGCCGCGTCAGCCAACACAGCCCCACAACATCCAGAGCCTTAAGGAACTCTGGGCGGATTTCATCCACCCCTGGAGCCTTGCCACAGAGGAGCTTTTTAACCACCTCAGTGACCTCAGCATCAGAGATTTGAGAGGCCAACCCAAAGTCCCCAGACTCTGCTTCCTCACTGGAAGACGTGTCGGTGGGATTGAGGAGGTTTTCCAAGTATTCTGCCCACCGATCCACAACGTCCTGAGTGGAGGTCAGCAGCACACCGTCCCCGCTATAGCTAGTGTTGGTAGCACACTGACCTCAGTGACCGAGACGGGGAGTGAGTAACTAAAAGTCCACACAGACACTGTGGAGCAAGTACGGCTTTAAAAGCCAATAAAAGAACCTTGTACTGGACCCTAAAATCGACAGGCAGCCAGTGCAGCGTCCCTAACCGCCGGTGTCCACCAGCGGGTTCGGGGGTTGCCACCACGACAGGCACCGACGATCCTGCGACCGCAGCTCCAGTCAGCCGCCTCAACGATGGAGGCACGCAACAGGGTCCATTCAGACTCAGTGTCCCCCGCCTCCCCCGGAACATTTTGGAAGTTCTGTTGGAGGTGGGAATTGAAGCTCCTGACAGGAGACTCTGCCAGACGTTCCCAGCATTCTTTACTTATTTATTTGTAAATAAATAAAATACATAAACTTGGTAATAAACCAATTCATATTGAATTAAACAATAACCAAACAACGGGGTATCTGCAGGTTTAAGGGAGCCAAATTTAAGACTTTTTAAGACCTTTTTTAAGGCCACTTGAACCAAATTTAAGCCGTTTTTTTTAATTAAATTTAAGCTATTGCCTGGAACCGGTGCTAACCACGTCGCGAACGTGGGATTAGCTATCCAGTTACCATTAATGTTGCCCTTCCCCATGGCGCAAACTCCCACTAGCGTGCTCATCTAAAAATAGCCCCCTTTCACAAACCAACCGAATGTGTACGGTTCCGCTTACGCCAACATCGTACACAAAAAATACTGAACTAGAAATTCACGAAAATTTTATAGAAATAAAAGAATCTTGTTTATTGGGTCTTTGGGTATTTAAGACCTTTGGAAACTCTAAGGATTATTTGTCATTTTTAAGGATTTTTAAGGCCTTAAATTTGGAAAAGCAAATTTAAGACTTTTTAAGACTTGTTAAGGACCTGCAGATACCCTGAAACAAGGTATTCAAAATTTTCTGCAAAAAAATGGCGTTTTACCCATGTTCCCATAGTGGAAACGGGCCTATTGATACCGCTGCAGCAGGAGGCTGTCACACCATCCTCCTACACCCTACAATCTCAAGCCCCAGCTGGCAAGCCCCTTCCAAATGTCTGCAGGAAGTTTGTAGCTCTAACGCACGAACGCACCTGTACGTCTCCCTTCTGCAGGACAGTGGGCGCCAGAAGAAAAAGCTGGTCGGGAGGATCGTTCAGCGGCTCCGGGTGCAGCACCGTCAGAGCCAGCTCCAGCTTCTCTATCGTTAGGAAATAAAAACAATTAGAATGGAGGTGTGTTTAATACGGCTTGGATCTAAAACTGTGGGTTTCTGTTTCTTCTGAAGCTCGTGACACAAGTTTAGAAATGAATCACCGTCGTTTCCGTGTAGGAGGACGGAGCTGCAGCGTGGAGTCAGACAGGCCAGAGGTTCGTGGCTCTGAGTGTGCAGCCAGCTGAGGAACGCCGTCTGGATCTCTTCGTCGGTCTCCTCGGGCTGAGGAGGAAAAATTCAGCACAAAAATGTACAAAAGCAGCAGAAACGTGAACTCCGGCGCCCACCTGAGGGCTCAGAGGCTGCAGGTGAACGCTGGTGGCGACTTTGATGGTCGACTTCACTGGTTTTATTCTCACTGTTGAATGTGGCTGGATGTGTAACTTGCTGCTCAGAGGCTGAGGGATCTGTGGAGACATGATTTCCTAACGGAGCTCGGTAGAAACAGCATGATGGTTTCATAGTTCTGCTCCAGCTGACTCACCCAGACTCTCCCGCTGTGGATCCCTCCCTCGTTGGGACCCGCCTGCGTCTCGGCGCAGTGGCACACGACCCTGACCACCACAGCTTCCTCCTCCGAAGCGCCACTTTCACCGCCGTGCTTCCGTTTCTCCGCAGCCTGCTTACTTTTGTCTCTCGCTTCTCTGGGGGATAAGACTTTGGAAAGGCGGCCGTAGGTGACCGCTGACTGGCCTCCTCTCGGCGCGGCGTTCCAGCAGAAGCTCCAGGGAAAAGTGTGAATGGCAGCAGCGTTGGCGTGATTTACGGTGCAAAGGGCGTCCGGCGGCGTGCTGCACACTCTGTAGATGGAGTCGGGGAGGATGGCGGGAACGTTCGGAACAGGAGGCTGCTCTTTAATCGGGTCGTAGCTGCCCTTCGTCACGTGTCGAAACAGGCTCTTTAGGTCAGCGACGCCACCCCACCGTCGGCTTTCAGGAGAGGAAGACGCTGCTGTCGCCTCCGAGGAGGATGGGAGCAGGTTTGCAGGGCTGTTGCTGAACTTCTCAAAAGACTCTGTGAGGGCGCCGATTCCCGCGCGGATCTTCGGAGACACGGCGAGCTCTGTGAACTGCTCCAGGCGGCCGTAGGGCACATGAGGGGCGAGCGACGCTGTGTGGAGTGGAAACAGATTGTTTGGGAAAACTATTTCACCAACACGAGCGGTGCTTTAGACGTCTCAGCTCTCCCACTCAATCTCAAATCACGTGCCACTAGCCTAGGTGTGAAACTGGACTCTGACCTTACAGTGTCTTCACAAGTCAGCGCTACTGTCAAGTCCTGCTTTGTCCAACTCCGCCGCATCACTCGTCTTAAGTCAGTCCTCAAACGCCCGGATCTCGAGTCAGTCATTCATGCTTTCATTACTTCACGTCTGGATTACGCAAACTCTGTCCTGATTGGGATTAATGCTTCAGCCTTAAACAAACTGCAGAAGGTTCAAAATGCCGCGACCAGATTTTTAACCAACACCGACAGACGCATGCACCTCGCACCCATCCTCGCAGATTTACACTGGCTCCCAGTCAAATTTAGGTTAACTTCAAGGTCTTATGTTTACAAGGCTTTGTACCGCCCATCCCCATCCCATCTGACGGACCTGCCGACCCCGTATGTTCCCACCCGTGCCCTTCGGCCAGCAGATCATCTGCTGCTTGTTGTTCCGAAGGTTCGGTACATGCCTTCATTACCTCTCGCCTGGACAAGGCAAACGCCCTCCTCGTTGGTGTTCCGGACTCTGCCCTGAATCGGCTGCAGGTCGTCCAGAACGCTGCTGCCAGGTTCTTGACGGGTACAAACCGACGTAGCCACATTACTCCTGTCCTGGCACATCTTCACTGGCTCCCTTCAGAGTGCAGTTTAAGTTACTGACTTTTGTTTTTAAAGCACTCAATGACCTCGCACCTCCCTACCTCTCTGCCCTTCTCACTCCATATGTGCCCACCCGCTCGTTGAGGTCGGCTGACCTTTTGCTGCTGTACACGCCGCGGATGAGACTTAAATCGTGGGGGATCAAGCATTTGTCCATGCTGCCCCAAAGCTATGGAACTCATTGCCCATTGGAGTTCGGCAGGCTCCGTCTCTGGCGGTTTTTAAATCTCGTTTAAAGACCCACTTTTACACTTTGGCTTTTAGACAGTGACTCGTTTTAGTGTTCTATTGTATCATTGTTTTAATGTGTTTTTAGTATTCATCATGGTTTATCTGCCTTTGATTGAGATTTTTATCCTTTGTTTTAGCTCCTTGTAATGGGTGTGTTTTGTTTTAGCCTGTGCAGCACTTTGGGCAGCTCCCATGCTGCATTTTAAACGTGCTATATAAATAAACTATGCTGTGCTATGCTAAATCACGGGGGGAGCGTGCCTTCTCTTATGCAGCCCCAGAACTCTGGAACTCCGTGTGCGTCTGGCTCCCTCTGTTAGCAGCTTCAAGTCGGCCCTGAAAACGCACTTGTTTAGCATTGCCTTCCCTCCGTGACACTTTTCATGACAATCCAGCACCGGATTCGATTTTTTAATTCCGTTTTTATGATTCAGTTGCTCACTTTTGGCACCTCGCACCATCTGGTAGCTTATTTCGTTTTATTTGTGCCATTTCAAATGTTTTTGTCGTTCGTCACATTACTTTATTTTTTATAGTGCTGTTAACTGTTCTCCTATTTTATTGTTTTTAGTAGGAATTTTTATCTCCGACTCTATGCTTTGTTCTTATGTATTTTGCCTGTTCTTATTGTGTTTCTTGTTCAAGCATTTGGCTTTTCTATGCGCAGCACTTTGGTTAGCTGCCATGCTATTTTGAAATGGTGCTTTATAAATAAATATGGTATGGTATTTATGGATTTATTACTGATTAAAGTACAAAAAGGCTCTTTGATAACCCAACGCAATCACTTTGTCAAAGACACAAGATGGTCCACAGCAGATCTTAAAAACAGAAGTAGAAAGAATAAACGCACGCTGTTACGGGCTCACACAGAGGTTAGGACACCAATAATCCCACATACTGGAAAACAAAACATAACGCAAGTCGGTGTGAGGTTTGTCAGAGACACGGACCGTTTCTCCACACTCGAGAACGCGAGTCCGTTCTTGCCTACTAGACAAGTATGTCCTGGGCAAAGACACCAGGAAGTCTGTTCTACGGAGGACGGCGTTTGGAACAGAACCATGCTCCGTTGTGTCCTGGCAACAAACGCTGCTTCTTCCTATGGTTAAAGAGCAAGTCACCCCAATCAACATTTTTTTTCTGATAAACTATATAAATGAGCGTCTAATCGTGCTGCAGACACGTCATCAATAGTTTGGCACTTCAGTGCATCTTAGTTAAAATTAAAATGTTCTGCCTAAAACTGTCAGTGTTGTGCCGTCGTCAGGTAAAAACTCTGCACTGCATTTGAATTTAAATCTGCCATCTCTATTGGCTAAGAGGTACCCTATGATGTTAGCTGGTACATTATGATGTCACAATGTTGTTATGAGCCTGTGTGTGTTTGTTAGCGGCTCCGCCCTCTCGGTCTGCTAGGCAACAGCATTTGTTGCATTTTTCAAACAGGAAGTGGGAGTGGATTTAAAACTCTGGTAGGGGGTGACTTGCTCTTTAAAAAAAAACGACCCGACATAAAAATAAAAGTCTAGTTTGTTTCTTAAATAACAACAAAAACGTATTATATGTATTTTATTTAGCCCACTTTGATCAAAACTAATAAAAAAGTAGCATTTTCCGCACTAACAGATTTAAAAAAGTGTATTTTTCATCACACCAGAGCTATGCTGCTTTTATTTTGATAGTTTGGTTAGGTAATTAGCATTTTTAGGGAACATGAAGAGTAAAACTCAAACACTTTGAAATTGTCCTGTAAGCCCATAACTGCATCACAGGCCTTCTGTGGAGAGACCCTCACATCTTCTATAGGATCTAGAATATTAACAGTTAAAAAGGTCACAATAATGACTCGGCTACACGCTCTGAGCCACTTATACCATCCATGTTTGCTGGCGGCGGTGTGCTAGACGCTCTTAATCTTTTGACTTCCTTCCAGAAATCATTTACAGTTATTCTGTAGCTTTCTTAAGAGCGTTAGATCTCCGGGTGTCTTCGTTCCCTTTGATTAAACGTAAGGCATTTTTTTAAATTGGCATCTGTTCGTTTCTTAAACAGAGGACCACGTGTTTGCCGACCTGCCTCGACCCAATCCTTAAGAGCTCCTCATTCCACCCTGGACACACACAGACAAGTTGTTTTAGGGACTGACCTACTCGAATGTAGATCACTGTGTGGTTGTCCACCCAGACGGGAAGAACAGCACCTTGGAAAACCACCCTGATCTGGTCCAGCAGCTGCTGCTCCAGGGCAGAGCTGTGGAGCTCCTGGAAGTGTCCGTCACAAGAAAGAAGAGTCAAAGTTTACGGCTGGGACCTGAGACACACCAACAACCACCTGGATGAGAGATTCATCAAGTAACTTAAGCTCACCAAGATCTCCCAGTCATCAGACGATAGCGGCTCCACAAACACCTGAGTCAGCGATGAGACCTGATGACACGGTCTGAGGAAGCCCTGGTAGGAACCACACAACCGTCAGTTAATATTAACATCTGTAAAAAAAAATCCCTAACAGGGTTTCACCTGCTCTCCGTCTCTCAAACCCAACGTTTCTCCAAGTTGCCGACACAGTTCCACCCTGTGAGCATCCTGGCTGGAGGAGGCCCTACTTCGAGTCCAGCTGAGAAACACTGGAGATCCGTTACCCCAGGACAATTCCAGCGCCTGATTCTGCAAAAAAAGAGAGACAAAACATTTATTTTTCTGCTTTTTTTGGTTATCTAAGCATTTTATGTGTTAAAGGACCATGGCTGCAGTGTGTGTGTGTGTGTGTGTGTGTGTTTTAATGCAAACGATGCAAGGAAAGGGAGAGAGAAAATAAAAAGGGAAGCGGGAAATCAGTGGATCACGGAAATGTGGAATAAGTGCAAAGAGCAGAACAAGGAGAGGGTGGTGAAGGTCCCACCAAAGCCTGAACAGGTGACTTTTCGGCTGCTTTTTAAAGGAGACCACTGAGTCCACTGATCTCAGGCTCAGGGGGAGAGAGGTCCACAGTCTGGGGGCCACAGCAGCAGATGATCTGTCACCTTTGACCTTTAGCCTGGTGCTGCACAACCAGTTGGCTTTGATCACTGGACCTCAGGGACCTGCTGGGGGTGTAGGGACTGAGAAGATCACCAATGTAAGATGGTGCTTGTCCATGTAAGGCCCTATAGACCAGAACCAGGATCTTGAAATGAACCCTGAAGTTGACTGGCAGCCAGTGAAGCTGGAGGAGAAGCGGGGTTATGTGGGTGTGTTTGGAGGACTTGGTCAGAAGCCGAGCACAGGCGTTCTGAACCACCTGTAGACGGTTCAGGGAGGTTCTGCTCAGACACGTGAAAAGAGAGTTACAGTAGTCTAAGTGTGTCTCTCTAAGTCTCTAATGCAGTAAAATAAGGCAAACATAGATGTCAAGGAAGCAATTCACCTGAAAATCCTAAAAACCAGCAGCTGTCGTTGATTAGGTAACTGTTTGCTTTGCATGTTTATAAAATCTCAAACAAAAGTACTTTCATCTGAGCATAAGACAACCCGGCTAGTCGTTTAAAAACTGTCATCTGTTTATGCTAGCACAGACATTATACATTAAAACTAAGTCTTAACGTACAGAAATGATCTAAAAAGCAGTAAATCAACATGAAATTAGTTAGCTAACCTACCTCGTTCAAGGAAAGATGCGCTACCAACTTGGAAGGGAGGTGAAGAAAGCAGTTTTTTGTGTTGTTAAAAACGACACGAACGGCTTGAATTCCCTGGTTGCTAAACATAATTTTCGCATTGCTAGCTAGCTTAGCATACACCAGGCAGAGAGAGCAATTGGATTTATCGATGTGCTCTGTGGACGATGGACTCCTCACCAGGCAAAAGTAGTTGATCTTTTGCTTTCAAAATAAAAGAGTATTCTAACAGGCAGCGCGACGGTATTCACTGAACTGTAAGCATTTATTTTGAAAGTGTTAAACCAGAAGCGCAGACGCATTCACTGAACTAAAAGCGTTTATTTTGAAAGTGTTAAACCGGAAAGGCAGACGCATTCAGTGAACTAAAAGCATTTATTTTGAAAGTGTTAAACCGGAAGCGCAGACGCATTCACTGAACTAAAAGCGTTTATTTTGAAAGTGTTAAACCGGAAGTGCAGACGCATTCACTGAACTAAAAGCATTTATTTTGAAAGTGTTAAACCGGAACAGCATTTAGAATAAGCATGGCGGTCCCTGTAAACAACAGCTCCGGTTGTTGGAAAGTTCCTGACGTTCACAAACATCACGAACAGCAGAAAGTTTGCATTTCTCGACCAAAGTATCGAGAAGGAAGAAGAGCTAAAGCGGTTAAGGTGAGACAATCTTAGAAGTTATTAATTTCAGCTAAAATGTTCATAAATTCTGTAAAGAAGACACACAAGATTAGCTTTAGCTTAATTGGTAACATCATTCTAATACTGCACTGAACGCAGGAAATGTAACTTTAGTCTTGTGAATTTCCAGGTGTACACCATTAACCTAGAGTCCCGTTTCCTGATGGTACTGGGAGTCCCAGCTATCGGTGTGATGACGGAGCTGGTCCAGCTGTGTGCCCTATATGGTGTTGTGGAGGAGTACAGACCTCTGGACGAGTATCCGGCTGAGGAGTTTACAGAAGTCTACCTCATCAAGTTCCAGAAGCTAACCAGCGCCAGGTACGATTTATTCGCTCCTCATACTTTACTGGAAATACCTGCTTAATCGTTATCGAATGTTTCTGTTTCAGAGCAGCCAAACGCAACATGGATGAGAAAAGCTTCTACGGCGGTGTGCTGCATGTGTGTTACGTCCCAGAGTATGAGACTGTAGAAGACACCAGGCTAAAGCTACAGGACCGGAGGGGTTATGTTATGAGAGCAGCTCGGAGCAGAGGTATCGTTTAACATCATGTTTGATTTAGTTCTGACCTTTAAATGTTGCTTTTCAATGCTTTAAAACAAATCTTCTCTTACAAAGCAAAAGCGGCGCACAGCGAAGGCTCCGCATCATCGACGACTGCATCAGACATAAACGTCAGACACGATCAAACCTCTAAAAAAGAATGTGCAGAGGATGCTTCAAACCACAGCCAACATGCAGAATTCCCTCCTCTCCCATTACCTCCATGGGAGCAGCATCCCTTTGGACATAACAGTCCACATGGGATCTGCGCACAGGAGGACAAAATGGGAACTTTACATGATGCCATCATAAACTTGAAACAGCCCCAAGTGGAAAAGTTAAGCGTTAACCAAGCCTCAGAGAGAGACCACGACACAGAACACAGACTGACCTCAGATCAGGCTTCAGCATTCAGGTTTCTCCCAAGGTCCTCGCACTTGGAGATCAGGAAACGCAGAATGGAAGAGGCTTCCGAGCAGTCGGCAAGTGTTTCTGGAGGAACCGAGACCCTGATTGGACCGAAATTACCAGAACCACCTAAACTGGACATGAATGATGACTCGTTGAACACAACTGCCAGCCTGATCAGGAACACAATGAAACAGGTCATTGTTGATTCAGTACTTTAATAATTTCATAAAAAGTAAATCAGCCGTAATGAAGGATTAAAACATGTGAATCTTTTTTTTTTTTTTCAGGTGGGATCTGCTCCGGGTTTCAAAGCTGTTGAGAAAAAGACAAAACCACGTCGTCGGATATGATCTGGACAGGTGTCTAGATGGGAGTCTTGGAAGAAAACCGACGCTCCCACTGCTTCGGAAAACTGTTTATCTCATCGGCTGTTGTATGCTATGATACCAACCTGTATAAAAAAGGTTAAAAAAACAGCTATTATGTAAAGAGTGCACAAATTTACATTTAGAAAGCTAAAGAAATACTAATACTGTGTTTCCTATGTGCATGTTGCCGTGGCGCGCCACTACGGCAAAATAAAAGCTGCCACACCTTCAGAAGTAAACAAAAAAAAAAACTTCAAACAACGTACCTTCAGAAACATTTTTTTTGGATATACATTAAAACAATAACGAGACATATATAGTCTATATTTGTGCATGTGTACTAACCATAGTCACAGTTTAAAATAAATTTTATTGCAACAAAACTTTAAACTGCAGTTCAAAAAGATCTACCGACCGCTAAATTAGCGAGGGCGCACCGGTGTGGTGAAGTCACCAGAGGACAAAACAGGTGATGCGCTTCGCTCCGCAGCAGCAAAACGCATCGGGCACAAATAAAAGACAGGAAGCATAAAAAGGACACGAGTCGACATAAACAATCGTGTGTTATACGTGGAGACACTGAGAATGTTACTGTCGCCGTGCTCAGGACACCGCTCTGGTGCGCGCCAACCATCAGGAGGTGAGCGAAGGAGAGACAAGTGGAGAGGCAGAACAAGGACCAGCATGCATAAGTGAGCATGATGAGGGAGAGAGCAGCAGGGAAGCGGTAAGAGGGAAGAAAAAAGTCAGCACGGAGAATCTGGCTGGGACCCAAAATGGACAGAAATCAAGTTCCGCCCATGGCTGTAATCAAGGTGGGAATCAAGCAATACAAATTATTTCAAGGTAAATATATTTTTAAATTTTTTTATTTAATTGTAATTAAACAATAAGCTGATTTACACACCTGCGATGGACTGGCTCTCTGTTCAGGGTGGCACCAGCCCCCAACCCCCCAC